CCCCTCGTTAACCCGTGCTCTTCCCTGACGGATCTCACCTGTTGCTCGTTTTCCTCAGCTTGTTTAGTGTATTTAGTCCTTGTCATAGTCAGTGATCCCTAGGTTAGTCATTGTATTGTTACGTGTCGTCCCTTCCTGTCTGCCCTGGTCATCATTAAAGTCCCGTTTCCCTGAACCTCCGACTTTGTGATCCTGTTTACCCGCCCGCTCCCCGGCGTAGCGTGACAGTGTGAGTGAGTGACTGTGTGTACATCTGAGTGCCTGGAGTCTGGTCCATGCTGTACCTCCCTCTCTTACACTTTCTTTCAGGGATATAATATTAATCAGTTAATAATTACTATAGATTGACGGATCCAACTACTTCTCCTTGTCAGTCTTACTCAATTTTAGGTATGCTTGTACTCAAATTCAAAAGATTTGAATTTAATATATGTTTATTTCATTTATCATGAATAACAATACAAAGATATGGCCTTTTTAAAAAGACAGATGAATTTAGAAAAACTGAACTAGTGACAGTCTCTGTATAAAATATAAAGCTGTTTTGCCCCTTTTATGTGAACCTTTGGACAGGAGCTTCCTCATGCAGGACTGTCAGTCCCTCCTCCCCACATCATCATAGTCAGTCTGGTCGGGTTCAGGGGGGCCCTCCCTGGGGGGCAGTGTGGTCAAGGCTCTCTCACCTAAGGGGGCAAGGTAAGGGACACAGGGTATTGACAAACTGTAACTGGGACTCAGTGGACGTAAGAGTAGCTGTATGTGAAACAAGAAATAATGTTTATTAGTTAGATGTGGCAGACACACATAAAGTAATTTAAATGTCAGTCTATGTCAGTTACAACTGAATGGAATAATCAAAAAATAATAAAATATTATGAATATTCAAAGAGAAGCACAGAGGTGATCAAACCATCTGAGAGGAGCAGTATGATGAGAGAGAGACTTTGCTCCATTAGTTGTGTGTAATGAGAGAAACTGACCTGGTAAAACATGTGGGCTCTGCTCTATACCCTCAACATCATCATAGTCCTCTGATGTGTCTCCTGTCACCATCAACCCTGATCCTGGGAAAAAGAGAGACCTCAGTACACAGGAGCAGTTGACTGTTAGAGTTACCAACTGTCTCATTGCAAACAATTTACTCTGAAAGTATTTAAAAGTCCATAACATCATAACAATCTTTGTGGTTTTATGCAAGCATTAACTTCCAAATATTACAGTGCAATGTGTTTAAAATTTATGGTTGAAAATTAAATATGAAAGATTACTGAACATATAAATAACCATGGAACCATACGAGAAACACTGTGAATGTAATAATTTACCAAAGAAATGTCCTGAGTCCTGCCTAACAGTCCCAGCATCATCATAGTCTGCTGGTGTGTCTTTTATCACCAGATCCCCTGTATCAGACACAGAAAAGCTGCTTCTGTGTATCAGACATGCATCACTGTAGACTTTACATAACTCAAATTATTATGCTGGTATAATTAATAGTAGCCTTGGATGACATCAGATATACTTATAAGAATAAAGATATTCAATCTGATACTGAGG